ACTCTTCCTGAATAATAACACTTTGGAATAGGGTTAACAATACTACTTATAATAATAGTAATATGATCAACAGTAGTATTTCGATTAGTATTGAAATTGTATAGATAATAGATAATGAATGTTGATTTACAATTAGAATTTGCTTTGTTTATATAAAACGACATATAATGGTCTTTGTACTGTAATACAATTAATAGATAAGGTGAATTTTTGAAAGATAGGATTAGTATTTAACAGATAACCAGGGTATAGATATTGTTGAGAAATAATTCAACCAATACTGATATATACACATATGAAGGTACAAAGTTTATGGTTGTAATATGATTGACACAATGACGAAATACCTTATCTTGTATCAATGGTGATCCGGTTAACACTGAGTGATGATGTAATCAGATGAATGGTCTTGAAAATTGCAGACATTATATAAACTACTTACTTACTTAAGCCTGTTAGCTCTTGTGGAGGAGAACAGACCACCCATCAGTTCTGGTTTGCGATTCTTCAGCGAGTTAGTTTTCTACTGGATGGGATGGCCCTAGGGTCGGCTGTAACTCTATAAGTGCCACAGGCGGAGTTTCACATCATATAAACTAAACTATAAACCACGAAAGGAATTCTTTGACACAATAGAGAGAAGAAAAACAAAATAAAATGTTTGATTGTGTTGAAAATTACCGATAATGGAATTCGCAGTAATTAGGATGTTTATTTCATTCTTCCCCCATTATATGATGTTACAAATATATAAATGGTTTATATTAATTGAGTAGTGACCACTGTCGTGTTTGTCTAATCTGTTGAATGCTGATCAAAGCTTACCGATTAACTTGTAGTTCATTTACTAGTCTATGCAACTTGATGTCGGGTGAATTATTTATAATATAAGTTTATTGGAAGAGATTGGAAAGAAATTCTGGACTCACGTTTCAACCTAGTTGACACTCGTTAACGAGGAGTACTAAGGATGTTCATCTATAGAATCCGTTCATCACTGAGGAATGATTAACTATGGCAGTCGTCACCATTTGATGATCAATCATGAAGTATTTCACTTCAATTAGTAGTTAATCCTTTCTAGAATATTTTATAGTAATGCCGCAAACGTTGTAACTGGATAAAGCTGGTTCAAATCCACTAGAGATTGCTAGTGTGATAAGATCACGAAAACCCTCTCGGCCTCACCACAGCTTCAATATTACTTCTGTGCTCGACTTGTGTAAGTTTATCATTTCATCATTTACTCTGTGAACCGATCGTACATGAGCATCAGGTACTGAAATTGGCGCCGTGACTTTGAAATCCCTCACACTCTTCTGATTGGCTCGTCCATAAATTATAGTCACGCCGATTTTTCTTTTGATGAAACGATTGATATTTAGTCGCAAATCTTTACTAAACAGTCATCTCTGTTAATATTCGTTGACAATGTCTCAAGATAACAAATGCAGCTGACGATGACTGGGCGAAGCATGCCGGTTTAGTACAGCGCGAGTGTGAGCGCCTCAAACTATCAACAATGACAGAAGATCAGTTTAGGTGTCTCGCATTTGTATGCAGCTTACAATCTTCTGAAGATGCTGATATGAGAACCACAGTTTTGAGCAAAATTGAACAGTTTCTGAACATAACATGACAATAAGTAACCTAAGAGTGCCATAGACTGGTAAACGTGAAACACGATACTTCCATGGTTGAAAATAATAGTCGGTTGCCACACGTTCATACTGTACGCGAAAGGAAAGATTTCTGCCCAATAAAAGTATTGCCCACAGACAAACATCCTCATTCTCCATGTTGGTCGTTTGGAGGTTGGCACTCTTAGACGTTCTGCCCGTATAAAGAACACTGTTGCAGTAAATGTCATCGTATGGGGCATAAAGAAACAAACAGCAGAATGAGAACCCATCAACTACATTCTTCGAAATTATACTTCGAGAAATACCGATCTGGTGCATTAACTAAAAATATATTGATATTATATAACCGTGCACGAATTTACCGCTGAAGAAAGTATGTAACCGTGGATACTAATAAACAGCGTGCTCGTCTTCAACTTTACACAGCATCTGATATTACTTTAATCAGACCAAAAACGCGCAGGAATATTGGGAGACACACAGTGCATCCAACAACACAATTACAGTACAGTGCATCTGGTGTGAAGTTAAATATTGTCGAAGAAGTACCATGCATTGTTTTAAAAGGTGCTGTAACGACAAACGCAACAATAATAAACCCCTGTGTGCGGATTGAATAACTATAACGATGATTCCGTTTCTGCTAAAAACTATAAATACCTGACAGTTTTGTACCATAACTGACACTGTTTGGAATAACATTCCTTCTACTTATCTTCTGTCTTCTGATTTTATGACTTTGGAGGGTTCTCGCGTTCCAGTATTCAAGTATCACGCTACTTTCCAAGAATCCGAGTTCAAGATATAACAGCTAGTTTCTTCAAGAATGTAAAATACAATATGTTGATGATTGCTGTTGTTCAGAATATCGATGTAAACTTCGTAACTGAATCATCTACATCTGGCAATACGAAAATGCACCCGAAAACAGCTAGTACGAATTCAAATTTAGGCAAATTTTTCTACAATTCACCTGTAAAGCGATCACAAGTTGAAATTCACCAGCAACCAGTATACTTAACAGAAATTATATGGACTATGTTTAACATTGTATTTTTCGATTATATAGTTGTAACTAATGTTATGTTACATCCCCATTAGTGCTAATCGAATCGCAACGTGTAATATGACCATTAATTTTTAAACCACGAAATATTAGGATGATTGGAAGCAATTAACAGGAAGTCTCGACTATCGGATCTGTGAAAGTGGATTTTCGTCACCGATCTAAATGTCCTCCATTGTATCCTCGAGTTTCATTCTTCAGGCTCCTTTCCAACACAGGTCACTTAAACAAACTTTCATTCATTCTTGATCATTTGAAATGCTCAAGTTCACGTTTTACTGAACTTTCATGTTTTTCCCAGTCAGCATCACTGGCTCATGTTATGTTGAGGCACTAATAGTGAACATTGAACAAAGATGACGTTTGACTATTGATAAGAGACAGGAAATCAGTTTTTGCATCAAAAGAAAAATCCCTTGGGTTCTTCGGAGAAATAAAGTTACTGGGACATATGTGTTCAACCGTGACAATGTAATGCCAGACTTACAGTCGAAATGAAATTTATCAACAGAATTGATGATGGAATCGGTATGTGATTTACGTGATTGTTTAGTAATCCTTTAGTGGTTAAGAGTTGTTTGCTTCGTTTGAGTTTCTAGGATACGAATACGGAAATGATCATGCCGTTTTTGCTGATGTTCAAGCGAAGATTCTTCTTGTTCAAGAGTGATAGGCATTGTAAATGGTACACTCTGTTTCCAGTGTTAAGTACTCTACTTGATTAAGGGATGATACGGGATACGACCTCGACACTTGAATGCGTAGAACCCACAGTCGCAAATCGAAGAGATAGAAGAAAGCAGGAGAAGCGTTTGTTGAGGTAACATTCAAAATGTGCAGAAAACAGGTGCATTTATAGTTTTTTGATATAGGCTAAAATACCATTATAATCCGGCAAATCCGCAAGTAGGAAGCAGGAAGTTTATATAATTGTCCAATCAAAGCACGCTACGATGATGTTCCAGAAAATTGCATCGTGTTATGTTAAAATGGAATCTTTTAGGAAACTGCAGACTTCTGAGGTCCGCGCAACTGTTTCACAATTCATTTCGTACTCACTCAACCACTTTTGTAGTGTGAGTGGAAGAACGCATTTACGCTCTCCACCCCATCGTCCCCAATCGAACTGACAGAGAGAACACTTTGTCGACACTTTTAAAACACCAATACAAAATGATGGGACAAATATTCAGGTACTCACGAAATTCTTAACACATCATCCTATTGAATTATCTGTTACAAACAGATTATACGTGCTGGTTATATGCACAATTACCTGTTTTGACTAAGACATTGTGTATGAAAGAATAGGGATTTATCTTAGACATTCATCTCTAAATAATTATTTACCACTTACTAAACCCACTGAGATCAAAAGAAAAAGTAGATGTTTGTTTGAAGGAGAAATGTTAATCAATGTAACTATATTACAGCTGTAGACTACTCATTATACCTAACTGAAAAATATTGAATTATTAAGACATATAGAAGTGGTACAGTGTTCTGTCAAGTTTTAATATTTCAAGTTCTAATACGGGCAAAATTGTTGTGGTGTTTTCTACCGATGTCGATAGACATAAGTAGTATGTATCACCAGTCGAAAGTGAAAAACCTGGTGTCAGAAGGTGAATAAGATCGAAAAAATGAGAACGAGAACAGAGAGTGATTGGTGTGAAGATGGAGGAACAGTGAAGTCTGAGGTGATTAACTGATATTTCGCAAATGTGTTATTTACTATATTCTTCGCATATTCAACCAAATTACTCTGTAACTTTGTACTCTAATACATTTGACTGTTCCCACTTGTGTTATCCTTCACTATAATACAACCGGTTATTCTGTGTATATCAATAACGAGAACTAGTGTTCAACAACATAACACAAAGTAAAATTATGTGAAAACTTTATATTCGTGATAGAACTAGCAGAAATGAAACGAAATAGTTCAACTTCGTATATGCAACAACAGAATCATCACCTACAGATGTATAGGAAAAATTCGTTTGATGAATCACATAGGAAGAAATCAATTTTGGTTACAATATTTAGTATTGCAAATTAACAGTAAATGATCTTGTGATCCCAATGACAGTTTCACAGAACAAATGATAACAGTCATGGACAATCACTAATGAATGTCTATAGACAAGTACATGTCCATTTGTTCCTCTGAAATACATTCGCTTGCGTTCTTGGATACATGTTGAACAAGTGTTATTTCACTTGAAATGATCATGTTCATCCAAATCATTATTGTTGCAAGTACTAATCCAAATAGAAAATATTGATCATCTCGAAAACCGAATCGTTTATCACCTGGAAAAATTGCTTGAGTTGCGATTGCCAATTCCTGAAATCAATGTACATATTGATCAGTAACATGCTTTAACTTCAATCATCTAAAACAATGTGTATAACTATTGTTCAACATATGTATGTTACTGTCAATTCCAATCACGGCTATGACTAAACACAAAATATTATAATCAGAAGGGTGGTTTATTCAGATTTTAGTAATTTAATGGTTGAAATTATTTTAAAGTAAGAAACCCGGGATGCATTGGATTGATAGGTATCGGGTCCTAATCCCGTGGGTGAGATCGTGAATGTGCACCGCCAAGGAGTTTGTGATGTTCGAATGATCCAATGATTTATTTGTATTGATGACTGTTGTGATTTTGAATTCCAAATACAATACATTCGTTTGTGCTCATCTAATACTTCTTGATTAATGGTGTAATTCTTGGGAATACTAGTTTATACACAATTCAAATGCTTCTAATTATCTTACTGGTGTCACGATTGAGCGTGTGATGAAACGGTTTGATATACATTCAGGTTTTAATGTTTTTGAGAAGTACATGGATCGAAGTACATGATTCGAAATCTGGGCTATGTCTAGGGAAGATACAGAACAAGTATTTGGGTTATACTTCTGAATTACTCACACAGATGATTGTCAGTAGCATTCCAAATCCAGAAATAATCAAGATAACCTATTGAATAACAATAATAATAATAATACGAATTAGTTTTACAATACAAATAGAAATTTATTTGGATGAATGAGTGTAGATTTAGTTTTACAATTCCGTAACAATCAGAATCATCAGTCTTCTCTCGATACCTGGAAAAGTCTTCAACAGGATGTTGTTAAACCGAGTGTAGGACTCTGTAGACGTTCAACTTCGAGATCAACAGGATGGATTCCGTAAGGATCGGTCATGTACACACCAAATCGCAACTGTACGGATCATTGTGGAACAATCAATTGAATGACATTTATCACTCTCCATCAACTTCATTGACTGCGAGAAAGTGTTTGATAGCGTGGAGAAGACAATACTACAGAGGCTTCTTCGACACTACGACGAGCCTGAGAAGATAGTCAATATCATACGGGATTCCTATGATGAATTAAACTGAGAATTTGTGCATGGAGGACAGCTGACATACTCGTTCGAGCTAAAGGACGGTGTCATGCAACGTTGTTCACTCTCGCCTCTTCTCCTTCTTCTAGTGGTTGATTGAATTGTGAAGACGCCAACATCTGTGGGGAAAGCATGAGACATAGTGGACAGCTAATATGAAGTTGAACGATCTGGACCTCACAGAAAATCTGGCTCATCCTTCACACATGCAACAACATATGCAGTAGAGAACGACCAGTGTGGCAGCAGCCTCAGCAACAGTAGGCCTCAACATACACGAAGGGTAAAGCAAGGTTCTCCGATGCAACAGCATACACCAATCGAATTACACTTGACGGAAAAGCTTTGGAGGATGTGAAAACCTTTACACATCTGGACAGCGTCATTGATGAACACGATGGATGTGATGCAGATGTGAACGCGCGGATCGGAAAAGCACGAGCAGCATCTTTACAACGCAGGAACATCTAGAACTCAAAACAATTGTCAACCAACACCAAAGTAAAAAGTTTCAATATAAAACATATTACAGTTCTACTATATGAGGCGGAAACCTGAAGAACAACGAAAGCCATCATCCAAAAGATACAGATGTTTATCAACAGTTGTCTACGCGAAATACTTCGGATCCGTTGACTAGACATTATCAGCAACAATCTACTGAGAGAAAACAAACCAGATTCCATTGGAGGAGGAAATCAGGGAGAAGTGCTGGAAGTGGATAGGACACACATTGCGTATAGCATCCAACTGTGTCACGGGGCAAGCTTTCACATGGAACCCTGAGGTTCAATTTAGAAGTGGATGACCGAAGAACACATTACGTCGAGAAATGGAGATAGACATTTGAAGAATGAACAACAATTGGAAAGATCTGGAATGGAAGGCACGGGACAGAGTGTGTTGGAGAATGCTAGTTGGCAACCTTCGCCTCTTTTCGAAAAACAGAAGTTAGTAAGTAAAATAAATTCAGTGACAATTAACATTACTGACTAACATAAACTGAATAATCACTGCAAATATGAGAGCATCTAACTAGTGATCTAGGAAACAGTTAATAATTTTATGTTTTGATATGGTGTTTCTTCATTTAGTCAACGTCAATTGTATTGATTCTGTCGCTTCAAAATCAGTTGCATTTACAAACAGAAATAGGTGGCAGGTAGAAAATATCATGAAGATGTTCTTGTATTCAGAACGGCTAGCTTACCAATAAACAATTGTAAAGGGATGATATTGATGTTTGTTATGAATAGGAAAAAAAGAAATGAACATAAAACTACTGAGTGTAAAGTCTTTAACATCTTATTGTTAGATATCAAACTCCATAAGACAATATCCTACTGATTTATCCACAGCAAGTTAAAGTTTTTTGGGCGGCCTGCTTAAACATCTGGGCTACCTGTCTCCCGTCATCTATATATTTCAACAAGTTATCTAATATTGTTTGTTTTAATACATAATTATGGCTATTAAGCACACAACGTATTCCGGTGCGTTTCTGAAAACTGTACAACGTTTCGCTGTAAAAGTTACAAGAGGCCTAATCAGAGATGTCATGTTTGCTGGGAACATGCAGCAAAAAGAATATACATTATTCATATGCCGATTGACTGAACTGCTGACATCCAACTGGCGATCACTGAATGTTTATCATCAGGAGCAACGAAGAAATAAGAAACGTAAACATGTTGAAATACTTTATGCTGAGGATTCAATTTTGTACCAAATAATATAATTTTGAATAATAATAATAATAATAATAATTAAATACCGACTAAGGTTGTTTAAACTATATAATTATGCAGATGTGAAGACGCGGATCGGCAAAGCAGGAGTAGCATCATTACGACGGAAGAACATCTGGAATTCAAATCATTTGTCCGTCTACCAACATCAAGATCAGAGTTTTCAATACAAACATCGAGACAGTTCTATTGTACTGGGCAGAAACCTGGATAACAAACTCCATAAGACAATATCTTACTGATTTATCCACAGTAAGTTAAATGCCAACTATGATTCCTTAAACTATACAATTATGCAATAAGCAAAATCTCACTTACATCATAGCATTCAAAATGATTTAATACAATGAGAACTATATAAACTACTGCTTGTAAAGTGTATATAACAGTGAAGAATATATTGAAAGATCTTTGTATATCGAATCGTTTTAATCCGCCGAATAATAAAGTCAGTAACGTGATTCCCAATGTAATAATCCAACTACTTGGAAACCATACAATGTTCAATTCAGAAAGTGACCTTGAAGCTGGGATCGAAATAATCATCGACTATCACATAAAAATAAACAAATGAAATGAGAATCAGTGACAGATCATCTGTCTTCTAAATAATAATTAATTATTTCATAGTTGAAAGCGTGAGTCAATTGAAGCTAGACCACCATAAAAAACATGGAAACACTGGACGGCCGTTTCGTTCCAGGTATTCCATGGTGGTCTAGCTTCAATTGACTCACGCTTTCAACTATGAAAAATACTAAATCTTCACAAAACCCCTTCTGATAATTAATTATTTGATTAAATGTAACAAATTTGTATACATATTTGACAGAATGGTGTAGATCATGAAGGTAGATGATCTCTGTCGAATAATTCAGTGCCTGATCGAGTTGGACGGGAATTGTGTGACGAATCAGTTAACATCGAAGACACACCTTACAGTGACCAAATGCCTTGGCATAGCTGAAAGTAGAGAGAGTCCACTCTCGCTGTCGAAATGCTCTCATATGGTCACGCGTATATAACCTCTGCAAGGGAAGTCACACTCACTGCTTTCTCGTTTAGGGGGTGTTCTCTACGAAATTGAGAGGACGAAAAGCGAATGTCCGGTGCTTTAACCAAGTTGGTGGACACGGCGCGTCCACCTACGGGTGTTGGAGTATCCTGATTCCGAACCAATGGTGCACATGGGCTGGATCCAGCATTCTGGGGGAACAAATGGCGTATGAATCAATCGTTGGCCACCGGCTACTATGGTACTACATTTCCGTAAGATGCCCCACTGCCTTGTGAATCGGATCTTAAGGTCGTAGGCTGCGGATGTGGCTTCTCAGATAACCACCTTTATCGTTTTGGTCACCTGAGCAGTATCACAGCCCTCACACATATCAAATGAGATTTGTGTGGCGCATATATATCTTCTACCCCTTTGTACCAATATTTATGTGTTCAAATAAATAAATAAATGCGGATCGCACCTACGACCATAGAACACTAAAGACGTTATTATATTATAACATATAATGGTGATTGCCATCAATGTTCTCAAGTATCATTCTTAACTACTTACATTGAATACCATTAGTATGTAGTTTCTATGGAAATTTAAATTGTAGTTGTGGTACGAGAGCCATCTCCAAATCAATAAACAGTCCTGAAAAGCTGTAGTAATACAAAGCAAATACAGATTGAAATACACTAATGTGAAAAAGTAAAACGATAAGCAGCATAAAGTTCAGAATGATGCAAAAATAATGATTGATATTTTGAAGATGGAACGATATTTTGATAGATATGGATGAATCATGTACAGATTGTGATAGTTATCCATTGAATGAAATGCATAATGGTTATCTTATATTACGGATTCACCAGTCTCAAACGTGAACAACCTGATCTTGACAAAATTGTGTTAGGGTGAATTGATGACTATGAAGCAGGGGTTACAATTTGATCGTGTTATATCCTTTCACTAAGCCGACCTAAACAATTGTAAATTTGAAATCCCAGTCTTGCAGGAATACAACAGGTGTCAAGGTCGCTTATACTTTCTGTTCTTATTCTTTTATAATTTTATTTGTACTTTATGTGTTGTTTCATGCTACTTATTAATATTCAGTAAACAGTTCTGCATCAATGAGAAGATTCAAACAATTAATACTAAATGAATTTAAACTACACCCCATTGCACAAGCAAGTGGCTATCAGGATTCAGTGGTCGAGTGGATAACGCGATGGCGTTCGACGTGAAAGGTACTGGGTTCAAGTCTCACAGTGAACATGAACTCTGAGTAGCAGGTACATCCGGCTGACGAGTCCCAAATAGGACGAAACGTGTGTCATGGATTCCACTGCTAGCCACTATCCACCTTGACTTGCCGCCTCTATTTCTCATAATTTCGAAGAGCATGATGTAATGCAAGTTCATTTCTAGTGTCATATATAGAAGTATTTACACACACTTATAACATTTACTGCATTTATTATCATAAGCGCCTTCTCTCAATCCTATCCCAGTTCTGTGCATCTTTTAAGTCTTTTTTTAAACATAACAGATATACCATACAATTGAAAACTTACAAACATAGCCCAACAAACCAATTTGCGGATAGTAATCATTTCTTCAATGTTTCACTGAATATAAATAGAATAAGATATTCCGATATCATCAAATGAATCAAATGAATTTACATTAAAATAAAAGGAAGATTCATTCCCCATGTGATTAATAGTTGTAGCAAAGCTATAGCACTTGCCTTAGAATTTAAGTATAATTCATTATTGTTGTTTTGTTTTAATGAATTACCTTCATAGAAAAATCGATGTTGGTTACTTGTTGATTTGGTTCTATTCTAATCTAGATATTCATATTATGATGTTATTGAATACATAAACAAACAAATTAATAACCTACTTGGTTACTATTCAATTCTGTTGAATAACTTTCTTTATGTTTTTCAAGTAGATTTAAAAAGAATAAAAATTATCTTTATTAAATATGAAAGTAAAAGTAATGAAATGAATTTAATAGGCCGGGATGGATAGTTGTACATTAACCTCGAGATGCGAGGACATCCGGCTGATGAATAACAAATAAAACGAATTAAGGCAATGAATTAAGGCAATAGCGAAGCAAACCATACAGTATGAACATATATGAATAAAAGATAAACGGATCCATTATAGTCCTAAACAACAATAGGAAGGTAAATGTGTTAATAATACCAAATGCCGTCAAGTTAATAGATCTTTCTATTCAATCAATATTATTCACTTACATTTCATTGTAACAACCAAACTCTTTCTGAATAATAACACTTTGGAATAGGGGTACCAATACTAATTATAATAGTAGTAATATGATCAACAGTAGTATTTTGATTAGTATTGAAATTGTATAGATAATAGATAATGAATGTTGATTTACAATTAGAATTTGCTTTGTTTATATAAAACGACATATAATGGTCTTTGTACTGTAATACAATTAACAGATAAGATGAGTTCTTTCAAAGATAATAATTCAAGAAATAATTCAACCAATACTGATATATACACATATGAAGGTACAAAGTTTATGGTTGTAATATGATTGACACAATGACGAAATACCTTATCTTGTATCAATGGTGATCCGGTTAACACTGAGTGATGATGTAATCAGGTGAATGTTCTTGAAAATTGCAGACATTATATAAATTACTTACTTACTTAAGCCTGTTAGCCCTTGTGGAGGAGAATAGACCACCCATCAGTTCCGGTTAGCGATTCTTCAACGAGTTAGTTTTCTACATGATGGGCTCGCTAACACTATGCACAACCCCCCTTCTTTACTCGAGCTTGGGACCAGCAGTTACTCTCTAAGAGCTACAGGAAAATTTATACATCATATAATGTAAACTATAGTCCACGAGGGGATTCTTTGACACAATATAGAGAAGAAATATTGAAATAGAATAAGAGGAGAAGAAGGAAAGATAAACTGAAGATGATTCAGCAAGAACTAGCGTGAAATAGCAAGGAAGATTAGAAGGAGTGAAACCAACCCTCATTAAGAGATATTACTGTTGAAAAGACAGAGAATACAATCGAAAACATATGAAAGATATTGGTAGAGTTAATTTGCGAATATGTGACAATTTCCATTGAGTTTTTTCAATTCATTGAGATTGATAATGCATAGCAGACACAGTGTATGATTGTGTTGAAAATTACCCAGAATGGGATTCACAGTGATTATGATACTTATTCCATTCATCAATGTGTGTTCTATCCATTTCCAGCACTTCTCCCTGATTTCTTCCTCCATCGCAATCTGGTTTGTTCTCTCCCACAGTAGATTGTCACTGATAGCGTTTCTTCAACGGATCCGAAGTATATCGCGTAGACACCTGTTAATAAACATCTGCACCTTCTGGATGATGGCTTTCGTTAATCTCCAGGTTTCCGTCCCAAACTGTAGAACTTTCCTGATGTTTGTTTTGAAAATTCTGATTTTGGTATTGGTTGACAGATAATTGTTTTGAGTTCTAGATATTCTTCAGTTGTAAATATGCTACTCGCGATTTGCCGATCTGCGCGTTCACATCTGCATCATATCCATCGTGTTCATCAATGACGCTGTCCAGATATGTATAGGATTTGAAATTCTCCAAAGCCCCTCCACCAAGAGTCATTTGATTGGTGTATGCTGTTGAATCGGAGAGTCTTCCTTTTCTCTTCGTGTATGCTGAGGGCAACCGCCGATGATGCTGATACTACACTGGTCCTTCTCTACTGCATATGTTGTTGCGTGTGTGATTGATGAGCCTGATTTTCTGTGAGGTCCAGATCGTTCAACTTGATATTAGCTGTCCACTATGTCCCATGCTTTCCCCAGATGTTGGCGTCTTCACAATTCAATCAACCACCACGAGAAAGAGAGGTGAAAGTGAGCAACGTTGCATGACAACGGCTTTCACCTCGAACTAGTCTATCAGCTGTCCTCCATGCACGAATTTGCAGTTTAATCCATCACAGGAATTCCGTATGATGTTGACTATCTTCTCAGGCACGTCGTAGTGTTGAAGAAGCCTCCTTGGTATTGTCCTGTCCACGCTATCGAATGCATTCCCGCAGTTAATGGAGTTGATGTAGAGTAATAAATTCCATTCAATTGATTGTTCTACAATGATCCGTACAGTTGCGATTTGGTGTGTACACGATCGATGCTTACGGAATCCATCCTGTTGATCTCGATGTTGAACGTCTACAGAGTCCTTCACTCTGTTTAACATCATCCTGTTTAAAACGTCTGCTGGTACTGAGAGAAGAGTGATGCTTCTGATTGTCACTACAACAAAATTTACACATATTAATCCAGATAAATTTCAATTGGTATAATAAAAATAATAATAGATATTATTATTAACACTAATATTGAATGGGTTGTCGTGAAAAATAACATGATAAACGCTTACATAAACTGTAGGAGTTTGTTCTAGTATGCGACTCCTTGTCAGCGTGCAACGACGATCTCGCACACAGGATTTGAACACGAGACATATGGATACAATACTTCCAGAGTTTCTACCTTAGAAATGAATTCAATCATTAAATTACTAAAATCTGAATAAACCACCCTTCTGATTATAATATTTTGTGTTTAGTCATATCCTTGATTGGAATTGACAGTATCATACATATGTTGAACAATAGTTATACACATTGTTTTAGATGATTGAAGTTAAAGCATGTTACTGATCAATATGTACATTGATTTCAGGAATTGGCAATCGCAACTCAAGCAATTTTTCCAAGTGATAAACGATTCGGTTTTCGAGATGATCAATATTTTCTGTGTGGATTAGTACTTGCAACAATAATGATTTGGATGAACATGATCATTTCAAGTGAAATAACACTTGTTCAACATGTATCCAAGAAAGCAAGTCAAAGTATTTTACATGAGCAAATAGACATGTACTTGTCTATAGACATTCATTAGTGATTGTCCATGACTGTTATCATTTGTCCTGTGAAACTGTTATTTGGATCACAAGATCATCTACATTTACTTTGCAATGCTAAAAATAGAATTTGTTCATCACTGAGAAATAGTCAACTTAGGCAGTCGTCACCATTTGATGATCAATCATGAAGTATTTCACTTCAATTAGTAGTTAATCCTTTCTAGAATATTTTATAGTAATGCCTCAAACGTTGTAACTGAATAAAACTGGTTCAAACCCATTAGAGATTGCTAGTGTGATAAGGTCACGAAAAAACCCTCTCAACCTCACCACAGCTTCAATATTATTTCTGTGCCCGGGGTTTGTAAATCTATCATATTTATTATTGATGTATGCCTACAATACTCATACCACCGAACGGCCGAATTTTCAATGACATCTGCGATTATTGCAGCCAAATTTACTGTCGCTTTTATTATACAGTTGACGGTAATTATTATAATATGCCTTAGTCTCAATCTGGATGTAGCGATAAAGGTTACTATTCTAACAAACGTCTTCCTACATCGAAGGATATCACGGTAGTCTGCATAAGGTCTACAAGTAATTTGATCAGTGCAACTTTAAATAA